TTCTTTTGGAGTAGATCACCAGTGTTGATTCTTTCCAGATAGGCTTCCCAACAAAAACTACCAACCCTAGGAGGTATAGCTCTGCACCAAACCTCACCAATAGAAAAAGGGAACTGGGTAGGACTGGTGGACTGACTTAAGACTTTGAAGAACGAAGCACAAGAGAAAATGCCATTGGGGTTAGGTGTCCAAATTCTAGAATCCRCCCTAGTGGGGTCTAAGACAACATTATCAAGAAGTGCAAGAAGGCTCGAAATACAATCGAAGTTTGAATCCCTCAAATCCCTTCTTAGACCCAAGTTCCACCCAATCCCAAAAGTGGAAGAGGGCAGGGTGGTGAAAGACGAGATCAGCTCATTTTTCAAATCAGAAAGAGCGTACAAAGACGGAAACTGATCCTTTAGAGGAGCGCTCCCCACCCAGGTTTGTTCCCAAAATTTTATGGAGTTACCGGAATTCAAGTCATACCTGATATTAGGAATGAAAACTGGTAGCAGGTCATGAATGGCTTTCCAATGAGAATTGCTTGTGATCCTAGCTCTGATTCCAGCATCCCATCCATTGTGCTCCAGCCCATGAATACTTGCCACTATTCTAGCCCATAGCTTCTCCTTCTCTATAGAAAACCTCCACAACCACTTCCCCAGCAGAGTCATATTCCTTCTCCTAATACTCCCCAGCCCCAAACCACCACACGACTTACTCTTGCACACTATTTCCCAGCTAACTCTATGATCCCTCTTCTCTTCTCCCGGCTCCCATAGGAAATCTCTCATTAACTTCTCTAATTTGTTAACAATATTCACTAAGATTTTAAACACCGACATGAAGAAGATGGGTAAGTTAGTAAGCGTGGCCTTAATTAATGTAATTCTCCCGCCAAGAGAGAGGTAATTCTTTTTCCAGGATACCAATCTTTTTTCAAACCTTTTCATCACCGGATTCCAGAAGCTCTCTCTCTTGGGATTATCACCTAATGGTAATCCTAAATAGTTCAGAGGCCACCCCGTGACTTCACACCCCAGAACTTCAACACTCTCCCTGATCTCTCCCTCCTCCAAATTCACCCCCACTACACARCTTTTCCCAAGGTTAACCTTCAAATTGGACAGTTGCTCAAACAGTTGTATCACCGACTTTAAATTCCTGATAAACCTCACATTACCACCTTCACAAAACATAATCGTGTCATCAACAAACTATAAATGTGTGAGGGGGGTTTCCAGCCTCTAATGAGCCCCCTAGAATCTGCTTTGTGAATCAATTTCCCCAAAACCTCCGCAATTAAAATGAACAAGAAAGGAGAAAGGGGGTCTCCTTGTCTTATACCCCTACTGGCTGGAAAGAAATCTACCACTGTCCCATTCACTAGCACTGAATAATGACAATTCCGGACACAGCCCATGATCCACTTACACCATCTAGCCCCAAACCCGAATTTGGTTAAAACTTTCCTCAAGAACTCCCAGTCCACCAGGTCATAAGCCTTTTCCAAGTCCAGCTTACAGACCACTCCCTTCTTCTTATCCCTCTTAAAGTTCTCCACACTCTCATTAGCAGTTAAAATCTGGTCTVTAATTTGTCTTCCACTCACAAAAGCTCCTTGATAGTGTTCAATGATATCCGGAATTACCTTCTTCAGCCTCAAAGACAACACTTTTGCAATGATCTTATACAAGCTATTCACCAAGCTTATTGACCTAAAATCCTTCGGGTGGGATGCATCTTTCTTTTTGGGAAGATACAACTACTATGTTTTGAAACCATCCATTAAGGGGCTAAAAAAAGTGATTTTTGGACTACAATCTCCCTTAGAAATCTAATTTGCAGCCCTCTCCTAGTCTACTAGTAGCCCCCCCTATAAACAACATCCTGCCCAAGAATTTGGCATCAATTCACGGGCAGGATTCAGTCCACCCCTAGTCTACTAATAGCTCCATCTAGGAGTGGATTGAACGGTAAACCCCCCAAAAAAAATAGCTTAACCACTTCGTACATGATGCACCATCCATATTTATTATGATGAAAAGTTACTTGGGCTGCATTTAATTGCTTGCAATGCAAATATGAACCTGATACAAATTTTGCAACTTTGTTCAATTTTGCATCTGTTTGTTTGTGTTTACAAGTTGCACTATTATTTGATGCAAAATTTATACTTTTGTCTGATTTATACCTATTTGCAGAGGTGGGAGAGTGGAGACTACATCAACTTACTTCCAACCTTACTTCCTGGGAATAAATAACCTTCCTCCCACCTCATTTTTCTTCCACGTAAATTGTGGATCACATCATTGTATTTTAACCCCAAACTTTAGGCTGCGTTTGAAAATGATGCAAGTGGAGTGTAAATCATTTATGCATTGACAAATAACAGACCAATT